CCCTCGCGATGTCATTCGGCTCATGCCTAAAGTACGTACATACGCGCCAGTGAGAGACGAGAGCTTCGAGAGAATGGGCCTCGGCGTGTAGTCGTTCAGCGGCAAGGCGTCGTTGCCGCGTAAATTCAGCGAATGGCTTCTCGCCAACATCGGTGGCAAAAATTCGAGCAAAGGTGCCGACGGCGGCTCCGTGGATGTGAGGAGCCCCCAAGGAGACTTAATGCCGCCGATAATAGTGCCACTCTATGCGCCTTCGATAGATACAAGGGGTGATCGGAAGTTGCGGCCGCAGAAACACGCGCACTTGAAGCTGAGCAACAAAATCGAGCGAAAGGATGAATAAATTCGTTTTTAGGAAGAACCAACACACAGACTCATCTCCCCTCCGCGCCCGACGGCGGAGGCCGCCCATACAACAGCTTCTTTCCCCAGTCCTGCACGCGTGTATCCCACTCGCCCATCCCAGCGAACAAGGAGGCGACTTCCTGATTCCAGCGCGCCTGGACGAGGGCGCTAAAAGGCCGTGGTGTTATGCGCGTTGCGGCGGACGGTGGCGCCATTATAAGCGCGGGCGTTTCGACGAGCCGGACGCTGAGGGTGTGCAGACTGGTGGTCGTTCTTGTCAGGAAAGGCATTCAGAGAATGGGGAAAATTCAACAGACTCTCGCTTGTGCTGTTCCGTCCTGCAAAAGCAACGAAATATGTCAGTCAAGGACCGTAGCGTGCACTCGCTGGCCTACCGCGTCTGTATCATATTTGAGTACCCATAGTAAAGCTGTCGGGTATGTGAGCAGTTATCAACGCCTCAGAGACGAAAGCTTACGCCGCCAGCCACCAGGGCGCCCGACACTGGGCCTAGCAGAAACGACATGGTGGGAAGAGGAAGGAGCGTTGTTTGCACAGGCGTGGCCCCATCACATAGCCACAGCTGTCAACGCGACCACGTGCCGTCTAGCGAGTCGCGTCCATCTCGCGCGTGAAATTCGCGTTCGCCAGCGAGGTACGCGGCTAAAATAGGTTTGGCGATAAAAAGCCTGGTGGCGGTCGGCCCGCGCCCACCCCCGTTCGCCTCATGATATCCACTGCTTCGTATTGTACAGAGCGAAGACTTTCAGAAATTCATGAAAGAAGGCTTCGAGTCATAAAGTGAGCTAGGGAAGCCTGGTGGCGGACGATCCGCGCCCACATACCATGAGCTTGACCAATGTATAAAATGCCCGCTATCCCTATAGTGGGTTTTTACACCTGGTCCAAAAAACTGATCGGACGCTAGTTTTCGCTCCTTCCTTATAAGGAGCGAAAAATGACGTAGGCTTATCAATCCTTCTGTTTGGGGAATCTACAATAGATCGTTCTAAATTTGTGGCTAAGCTTTCAACCATGTTGACCCCTCGCACGAGTGTCGTCTTTAATGGCTGTTTTTCTTGACTACCAATTGACTGCCCTTTGCCATATCTTGATACCTCCCGATGTTCCTAGTATCCAGAGTTCAACTTCAACCAATAGCAAATATAACTTCAAGTTTGTCCACCTCTTGGGCCATGCTACCCTGGGTAGTGGTCACACACTCTCACTGGCCAGTCCCTTTTCTTCGCAACCATTTCTATGTGATCCTCCTTTGTTCTGCATTTTCATCTTTTTCTTGTCTTCACCTCGGTGAAGAGCAGCATCAAGCAATGTTCTGAAAGGAAATTGAGTACAAACTTGAAGGGAAAATAAATACTCTCAACGTGCCGCGAGGAGCGACTGAAGGTCGGCGACGAGCGGCACGGATGAACACTTGGCTAAATTTTAGACTTATTTTGAACAAAACAGGTTTCAGTTCCACCGTGCCAATACCAACAATGTCAATACCATCTCTTCGGCCCTCTGAGTCGAGTTTGTTTTAACTCGAGTACCCCATTTTTGACGTGATAGATAGATAGCGGGCCTTGCCGCACAGCGGGCTACCCTAGTTATTTTCTGTGGGACTCCTGTTCGACTCGGGGGCCAGGCTTATCCATGTTTAAAATCGTTTTGGGCCAGAAGAGTGCCAAAAATGATATTATAAAGCGAGCCTTGTTGATATAAGGGTCGGACGAGCACTATTTGAAGTACGTCCAATACTTTTCATCGAGAGTTTGCAGGTTCCCGGTCGGTAATAAATCAGGCCTGCGTACCAGAGTAAACAAAGCCTGCAGACGGACGGTCCGCATCCACAAAAAGATAGCTACGACGTTGTGGGAACTCCTCACTTGATGCGGGGTCAGGCTTTTCAAAATACGTCCAGTTCTTTTTATTGGGAATAAAATAAAAAATAGAAACGGTGCTGAAGCCCTTGTCATGCTGGGCATCAAAAATCAAAGTGATAGACATAAAACGAACAAGAGTTCTCCTTCCTGTTCACTCGCCATAATATACATGCATTGCACTTCTCTTTTCTTCTGAATATCGTTCTCGCCAGGGCTACCGCACGCTCACGGATGCAACAGCACCTTGGTATACCCGTCGATGCGCTTGTCGAACTTGTTGTACGCGTCTGCGGCCTCGTCGAGGCTCACGTTGTGCGAGACTACGAACCCGGGCTTCGCGCGCCCAGAGATGATGAGGTCGCGGAGGTAGCGGTTGTACGCCTGTGGCACCGCAATTAATTCGATATTTTAGATGGTTGAGAAAACGCACCTTGACGTTGCACTGGCCCGTGCCGATGGAGAGGCCCTTCTCGAATAACTTGCCTGCCCAGCCAGTGAATAAAGTTCGATTTGATCTCGTACCGATAGAACTCACCGAATGGGAAAGACATGTATCCTCTGCAATTAACCAATCAGCCCTGCAAATCCCGAACCGATACGCGAAGCAATACTCACTTGGCCGACGCGGCATCGGGAGCGCCTGGGTCCGAGGGGACGTAGAGCCCCGGGATGCCGAGGCCGCCAGTGGGGCGGACGACGCGGATGAGCGCCTCGATCACGGCGTTGGGCTGTTCCGTCTTGCCGTCGCCCGTCGTCGCTGAAGAGCGAACTTAATTTTCTCGAGCGCATGGGGATGAACGGGAGCATACCTTGATATCCCACCGCTACCGCACCACAATCGCGCTCAGCATGCTGCCAGAGAACAACAGCAGGAGGAACTCACCATCGACCCCACGATCAACTTCCTTCCTGCATGCCATAATTCCCAGTCAGACTCACTCCGTAAATAACACAGCGGGATATCCACGCACCCCCCGCGCAGCGCCTTGATCTGCTCCACCGGATCGCTCGCCGAAAAATCGATCGGCGTGCATCCGATCTCTTTCGCCTTGGCGAGGCGCTCCGGCACCCGGTCGACAACGTACACCTCCGCCGCGCCGCGCAGGACTGCCGAGTACGCCGCCATAAGCCCTACGGGGCCCGCGCCGAAGACGGCGACGGACTCGCCCGGGCGGAAGCCCTGCGCCGACACTTTAGTCAGAGGTTTATATTTTATTGTAGGGTGGAAGACGTACGGAGAGCTGGACGCCGTGCCATCCCTATAAACCGCGCATATGAGTGCCACGCAAAAAAGGATGGAGAGAAGTCGGCGCACGGTAGGGAAGATATCCGCAAGGAGCGCAAAGTCCTCCTCGTGCTCCGTCCCCGGCGGTAGAAGCAATGCATTGAAGTCAGCGAATGGCACGCGGACGTATTCCTTCACATTGTGAAAATCAGCGCCGCAATACATGGAGGTTTAAGGTGAGGTACGCACCGCCTGTCCGCCGGGGTACGGCCCCATCGCGACGTATCTTGAATAATAATAATAATCAAACACCTTCGCATGCGCGAGTTGAGACGGGAGGACTCACCCATACGCGCTGAACAATAGCAATTGGTCAAAATTATGTTCAACTTTCAACGAGCCGTTGGACGAACGTACCCGCCAGCCTACCGTTGCGTCAGAAACGTTGGTGTGCAGCACGAAGGAAGAAAGGAACTCACGAATCCCGGATTAACGAGCGTGCAGAACGCGGACTTGCCCTCCTCACAGTTAAGGCACCGCCCGCACGCGACGTTGAACGGCATCACGACGCGGTCGCCCTTCTTCAGCAGCGTCACGCCGCTCCCGACTTCCTGCGAGTCATCAAAAACAAAAATCAATACAAGGGACAAACGAGAACGACGAGAGGATGGAGGGCAGGAGGAGAGGAGAGGACGCACGTCGACGATGCCCATGCTGCCGGGGTCCCGTTAGTCCATTCATCAATCAAGAAGGAAAGGAAAGGAGGGAGGGAGGGGGTGAGAGAAAGACGCACTTCTCATGCCCAAAGACAATCCCCGCCTCCGCCGCCGTGCGCCCCTCGTACATGTGTAGGTCGCTCCCGCAGATGCACGACGTCGTCACTGCAGCGTCCCATTGAATCGTCCGCATGGAAGCAGAGGAAGAATGTGAAGCGGAACAAGGCGGACGCACCCTTGACGATGATATCATCCGGGTGCAGGATCGTGGGCTTCTCCACCTCGCGCACGGAGACGCTGAACGGCTTGTCATAGACTACTGCGCGCATCGGATTCGCTGTTGGAGATTCAATATCGTTTATCGAGTGGGACCGTGAACGCTGTTGGGAGATGGGAGTGTATCGGAATGCAATTACGCAAACCACCAAGCGCATTTATAACCAGGCGCAGAAGCTGACAGACAGTGCGGGAACGCGGGTCAGCAGGACGAAGAATGTCTCAAAAGCGGGTCACCTGAGCGTGGTTCTGAGGCGCCCCGTGGCCGATGGGCGCCCGCCGCGGGCGTCCATGGCATGACATGCTTATGAGCTCTATTTAATTCTACAGTCGGCGGGTCTAGGCTGAGGATGAAGAATGGAGGAAAGTCATCTGCGTTGTTGAATATCCAACGAAGAATGAAGTGACCGAAGACCCGTGGACGTTAAGACTGCGGCCCAGGAACAGCGGATAAATTTTGAAGCTTGAAGGCGGCAGAGTTACGCTTGCAGAGGACAGAGAAGGTGATTAAATCAGGCAAAGAAGAATTGACTGACAAAATGGGAAAAAGAACTCTCCACCTGGGAGTCGAACCCAGCTCACCCGCGGTCAAGATGACCAAGCAGATCCCAATGACAGGCGGATATACTAACCGATATACTAGTGAAGACTTGTAAGACTGCCCCACCTTGGCTTCATGATCTACATACGTCCCGGATAATCGTCAAGGTCACGATGTCGGATGTATCTTTCCGGCGCCACCGCCAAACAACTGCCTGCCGCTTGGCCTGCCGGCCCTTTCTCCTCCCTAAGGCTATCCTCAAGCAGTAGCCAGCCCCACTTTTTGGTCTCCCACCGTCAACAAGTTGACCACGGCAGCGACTCCGCCCCGTCATCTACTCGACTTAGCTTGACCTCCCTCGGCTTCGTACAAGCTTCGCATCCGGAAACTTCAAGCCACCATGGAAGGCTTCACCGTCGACTCGCAGTGACGGCGCTCGTGGCGTCAGTCAGCACTGCTGGGCTAATCTCCGTTCGGCGGCTCGATCTTGCTCAGGGTCTATCGACAATCGAATATGAGTACGCCGAGGAGCTGTTCCGAGAGCAGCTCGCGAAACTATGCGAGGAGGCGATGGTGGGCATCCGTGGGGTACGGCCGCGGCGGTTGTTGTTGGATGCGGCGGCGTGGGGAGTGGGTCCTCGTTTATGCTTATTCAGTCGTGCGTTCCGTTTCTCCCCTTCCTTTCCTTCCCGTCTTTGCGTGTCGCTGACGAGAATTTTTTTCGCTTCCACAGCCACGTCTCTGGCATCCTGCTCATCGAGTTCTATAATGCCACACGCCCTCCTCGCGCGCCGTGGACCTGTAGCGCAAGGAGGATGGGGCCGCATTGCTTGGGGCGCCGATTGGGTTATAGGTGCGCGATGCGCCCTCGGCGAAGGATCTAGTAGTCGCTGCCTGGCCCAGACGCGATCGATAATATCCAGACGAAGGTCGATTTACTGAAGTATTGTCATAAGCACGACATCAAGGTGTGTTTCTGTCTTGCCATCCCTCCCTTCCCTCCTGTACCCTTCTCCGCAATACCCACTCCGTAGCCGGCAGGTCTTCGTCTCCATAGCCGCCGGCGCTAACACCGACTCCGCGCGCGTCCAAACTCCATGCCGACATCGCGAACGCGGTGTATGCCCCCCTCGCGCCCGCCTTCCTTCCGCTGTCTTCGTTTCTGCGGCATTCCAGCTGTCTACAGCACGGCGGTGCCTGGGGAGGTGCGCTCCCGCTGCTCGAGGCGCGGTTCTCGAAAGGGTTGGTCGTGTTGGACGAGTGGAGTGGAGGGTCTTGCCGTTGTCGCGTGCGTCTCCCATTCTCCCCTTTCTCTTCTGCGCCCCGCTCCGCCCCACTCGTCTCTCGTTTTTACTTGAAGCTGATGAGGGAGAAAGGACCCCCTCCTGGCAACGTTCTGCCTACGCGCCGCGATGTACGTCCGCTCGTTCGCGGGGGAACCCATACCGAACCCGCTATGGGTGAAAAATCGGAGGAAGCTGTGGTGCGCGATTTCCAAGGGCCGCGAGGCAAGGTGCAGGGGGACATGGTGCATTCGAGGTGCGTTTGTCGATCTGCCTTCCCTCCGTGCCTCTCCTCTCTGCTCTGCGCCTACGTAATGCTAACGACACCACCCAGCCGGCTCCCGCTGACGACGTCGTGTTACTCTTCGCAGGCGCCCCGTCCTCCCGCCGCCCCCTGTACTCGTACGCCCCGTACGCGCTCGGAAGGTGGGAGTTTACCAAGCCGATGAACTCGGGGAATGCTCGCGTTATGGTGTAGGTGGGCGGAGCTGCACGAGAAGATTGTGCGCGCGCAGAAGGGAAAATGCGAAGTACGACCCGGGGCGCTGTGGGGCTAGACGCGCAGGAGGCGGTTGTGGCGGCGGAGGGAGGAGGAGAGGGTGGTTATGCAGCCTCCGCCCTAGACTACGTCCAAGCAATGGCGTTCAGAATCGCGACTCAAATCTAACCTCTTTAGCTCCACTGACTCGAGGCAAGATACATAGTAGTAGGAAGTCTTCCCTTCGTTGGCAGTGGAATGAATAAGCTGAGCAAACCCTCGCCGCAACAGCTTGTTGTACGCGGAGTTCAGTGCCCATGCCGCCGGAGGCTGTAAGCCGCGCCACAAGTCGACGAGCTGGGTGGGCCTGGGATCCGAGTGGAAACTGAAGTTGGACACTTGAACCCCAACGGAACAATCGGCCGATGAGCAAATCTGCCGGCATCTCTTCCCTTCCACCTCCCCTCAGCGGAGATTCGGTGAAGGCCGTCAGCGGGGTACTGTATGGGAATGTCTCTTTATTTGGGGGAAAACCGAATATCAGACCGACTGAGAAACATCTCTCCCCGAGCCGAACGATGGGCATACAGCAACATCGACCAATTATATTCCTGACAGAAGCACACCATGTGCTACCCAGTGTCTTTAAGCCTGTGGATGTATTTCTGTGAGTGCAATCCAGATGTTGTCGAAGCTGAACTCGAAATCGTTGAAATACCCCAGTGCTCCGCCCAAATGTCCAGCCCTCCACCACGACCACGATGTTGAATTTCTGTCTATAATTGTCAAGATCTTACCCGATAGCTACCAAATGGATCAGGCCAGGAGATAAAGTCCTCTGCGCGCACACAAATCAGCTATGAGTTTTTTGGTGAATATCCGAGATTATTCAACAAGGGTACAGACGTATTTCACGACAGATACAAAAATACAGGAAAGAGGAGGGTAAAATACGTTGAATGGAATCCTTGAATGCTTGGTTTGGAATTTGGTACTAGAAAACTGAATCCATGCCGAGGCTCCGTCGTCCCTCCAATGTGTGTTGTATTTCTTACTTTGTTCAGTACCAAGTCAAGTCTGAGTCCTTAAGGAGTTTTCTGGGTACTACCAGCGGGAAGCTAAAGTAAGCCGTCAAGTGATAAATTGAAGGTTTCTGCACTGGATATCAGAAACCAGTTCACCGGGTGCTCACACACGTCACCAACCTTCGATTGGTTCCTCGCAGCCCATAGACACTGTTTTGTTGCCCTCCACCATATACCTCCCACAACTTTCCAAGACTGTAGCGAAGCGCGGGTTACTGCTCTTAGTAGTGAATAAATAAATACAGTCATATTTCAACTCGGGCCATTGAACAAGTTGCTAGCTAAAAAACACGGTCTCCAACTCAAACCAGTTCCTTTTACTTTTCCTTCTCTCCTCCTTCAACTTCCATCTGACCAGCCATTGTTTCTGTGGGAGTTTCCCCAGCCACTGCTACAATGGGTGCATTGAACTGTCCAAGACGCATCAAACTATCCGTGTCTCCTCCAGCACATCAGTGGTGATTGACATAAGCCTCTCGTCGATCTGTGCAACTTGCTTTCCTTGGGATGAACGTTTGAACAACGGTCTGGCAGTCTTCCAAAGCTCAATTGCTTTTGAGACATGCTCCTGGCCCTTTGCCAGATCACCAAGTTGGAGCATGCATTCGGCTCTGCTGCGGTGAATATCCATCCGTGTGAATCCAGCCAAGGCAACAGTAAATAAGGCTGTTGAAGTAACAATATCACCCTTAGCTTGAAAGACATCTCCAAGGAACTGGAGTGCTTCATGGAGTGCCAAGTTGTCCTCCAATTTTTTCGCATATCCCAGATATACCACTGCCCAACTAGAGGTCCAGCCAAACTCACTTTTAGGCCAGCGAGTGACATTGGCAAGGCTCTTCATGCATAAGAGTACAGCTTGAATATCATTTCCCCAGGTCAATTTAATACAAGACTGCAGTATTTCCTTTGCAGTGGGAGTTTCTCCCTCCCTGAGATGCAGTTTTCCTATTTCAATATTGCAGTACATCTTTGCAGATGCTACACTGTAATGTACATGTCTATGGGTGTCAAACAATGCTTTTGCTTTGTCAAGGTTATGCAGGACATCCTGTTCACATGCACCCATCATAATATCAAGCTGTGCAATGTTAAGCAGAGCCCAGGCATAGTTCCATGGATCTTGAATAGCATTGTCTCGGGCAATTTGAGTGTGGATATTATGGGCCTCAGCGTACTCTGATTTCTCGGACTGGGCATTTGCCAGGCTTTGCAATATAGTTAAATATGTAACCCCAGTAGTTGTACCACAAAGTTCCATTAGCTTCATTGCCCTTTCAAATAGGTGTATGCAATTTTTGAGGTCACCAAAGGCTTCATAACATTGGCCCGAAATTGATAGGGCTATGGCTTGAGAATGTAAGTCTCCTGAGCCCTCGGCAAGTCGGTGTGAAGCTTGGACATGCCCCTGAGCTACATGATAATCCCCGATGGCCAATTGGACTTGACCCAGATAAGTCAATACAAAACTTTGCTGCCGTAGATCTGCATGCAATTTTGCCGAATGAACAGCCTTGTGCAGATATTTCAGGGCCATAGATAATCTCCTTTCAGCAAGGAAGTAGTATATTCCTACTTCAAGGTAAAACTTCCCTAATGTTGATTTGATTTAGACCCAAAAATTGAAGCAATACCGGGACTCACATTCAAGGGCCAGATCATTGAAGGTGCGGAAGTGGGAGACAGCCTGTGTAATCAATGAATCTGCATGGGTAGAAAGAGATGGGCTTCTTGACTCAAACTTCCATATGATGGGCCATATGATCAGCTGAGTCTTGAGCTTTCCATCAAAATTCTCAGGAAGAAGGGTCCCAACTTGATCCATTAACATCGGAATCAGATGAAAATACCCAGAGTCCGTCGATTCCAAGAACCGCTTTAGAGAAAATGTGCAATTGATTGTCTCTGCCAAGTTTGGGTTATCCTGGTGCAACCCATGGAGCAGTAATTCACGTATATTTCTACCATTGGATCCTAGGCGATTGACTCTGCCAGCCCCCTGCTGAGTTCGAGGATAATTGTGGTATAGATCCAAAAGCTGATGAAAGTAGGTTTGCAGTTGGACGACAACAAGTGCAGAAGGAGGATAGAAACATTGCATATATTCTCGAATAGGCACCAGTGACTTCAGCCGCCTCTTCTCATCATAATATGCCAGAGAGGTAGCAAGTAGCGCAGTTTTGCATGTCATGATGTCCTGGATGGAGAGCTTGCTTTGAATGAGCTCAACATCTGAGAGACCATCAGGAAGGATTGAGAGTA